GGCATACACACAGACAGAATATTGTATACATAATAAATAAATAAATATTAAAAAAAAACACCTATGAGTGAGTACATGTGATAATTACCTTTCTTTTATTTTTAAAACTCACATAGCAACCTCAGAGACATGTTTTGCTTATCTCATTTTTTACAGGCAGGAAACTGAGAAACATTTAAAAGGCTGGCCAAGGGGTCAGTGAGCCGGCTCAGCAGGTAGAGAAAGCACTTGCTGCCAAGCCTAATGGCGTGTCACGTGCCTGTGCACACACCCACAAACACATATGCACCAAGGTGTGGAAAAGGCGGGGAAAGGTAGGATGAGATGGCGTGTGCCTTTAATACCAGCACTCTGGAGGCACAGAGAGGCAGATCTCTGAGTTCCTGGTTAGCCTGGTCTATATAGTAAGTTCTATGCTAACCAGGGCTACATAGATCCTGTTTCAGCACCACCCCCAAAAGTCACATGTATAAAATGTAACAGTGGCCCGCACAGTGACCCATATATTTTATCCCAGCACTCATGAGGCAGAGGCAGGCAGATCTTGTGAGGCCAGCCTAGTCTTCATAGAGAGTTCCAGGTCAGCTAGGGATACATAATGAGATCCTGTCTCAAACAAATAAGGTAGACTCAAATCACACCATAAGCAACAGAAGACTGTCCCTGGCTGCTCACACAGGAAGAGTTGTACAGGCTTATCTGGTTCCTAGTGCCCTGCTAAAACATCCTTCATGCACTAGTTCGTCACGCCCTAAAATAACCCTCAGTGGTGAACACTATAATTAGCCTCATTTTATAGAAGAGGGAGGATGACCCGCCAAGTGCCTCCCTTTGTGAGCCATAGAGGTGGAATCTGAGCCCACTCGGACTGACTGATGACAGAGCTCTCAAATATTTATGAATAAGGATATGAACCTTATTGATACATGTTGAGAATTTAAATTAATATTATTATTATTATTTTGTTTTTTCAAGACAGGATTTCTCTTTTCAATAGTCCTGGCTGTTCTGGAACTCAATTTGTAGACCAGGCTAGCCTCAATCTCACAAGAGATCCTCCACCTGCTTCTGCCTCCAGAGTGTTGGGATTAAAGGCATGCACCACCACAGACCAGCTAAAATTTTACTTTAATTACATTTTTATGTGTGTGCATGTATTTATATTGGGCACACACATACTGGGGCACACTTGTGAAGGCCAGACGACAACTTGTGGGAGTCAGTTCTCTCCTTCACCATGAGAAGTGTTGTCATCAGGCTTGGTGGCAGATGCCTTTCCCTGGAGCCATCTGCCAGTCTGAGAATTTAGAATGGTTCTTGCACACTCGCTGCCTTTCTTGGTGGTGCCCCTGTACCCTGCAGTGGGCACATCTGGCCATCATACTCATATGCACAGTGCTACATAGCTCCACCATTTGCATCTTCTTTTCTTAACTATGCTTTATTTGGTGTGTGTGTGTGTGTGTGTGTTAACATGTCATGGGGTCAGAGGCATTTCTGGTTTTTTCCTTTCATCATGTGGGCCCCAGAAACTAACTTAGGACCTGAGACCTGGTGGATAGCCCAGCTACCAACTGAGCCATCTCTCTGGCCTGTATCTCTTCTAAGAAAAGCCAGCTAGGCAATGGTTCACTGTTTTTTTCTTCTAGTGATAGGGTTTATATTAGGTTGAGCTATATTCCCGACCTTTCGCTCTTAGCTGTTATAGCTATTATGTGAACCCCCACACACACCTGTCCAATTTCCCTTGTTTATAGTAGCTTACACAGAAGGGAATCTGTGTACACGACTAAGTTGTTGATAGTACAATCAAGGTCATTAACATAAAGTTAAGCCATTTTAAGAATGTTCTACCAGGGGACTGGAGAGATGGCTCCATGGTTAAGAGCACTAGCTGCTCTTCCAGAGGACCCAGATTCAAGTCCCAGCACCCACATGGCAGCTCACAACTGTCTGTAACTCCAGTTCCAGGGACTCTGACACCTTCACACCAATGCACATGAAATAAAATAAATTTTAAAAGAATAAAGAATGTTCTAGCACCAGGCAGTGGTGGCACACCCCTTTAATCCCAGAGGTGGGTGAATCTCTGAGTTCAAGGCCATCCTGGGCTACAGAGCGAGTTCTAGGACAGGGTGAGGTCCTCAAGAAACCCTTTCTCTAACCCCACACCCCAGAAATGAAAAGGTCCTGGGGTTTCTGCTCAGAGGTTAGGAGCACCTGCTACCCTTGCAGAGGACCCAGGTTTGGTTCCCAGCACCCTTATGGAGATAATCAGCCATCTGTAATTCCTTTCCAGAGGATCCAGTGGCTTCCTCGAACTCAAGGCACACCCACGGTGCAGGCAAACGTGCAAGCAAACACCCATGTGCATAAAATAAAACATTTTAAAAAATGGTTCTTCTTGAAAAAAAAAAATGAAGTCCTCTTAAAAGGCTTCCTAATCTTCATTCAGATTCCAAACCCTACAACTGGGTTTTAAATGTTTTTTGCAAAAGCACGCCCCTTATTTAAGTTGCTTTCAAAGTCCTATGGGGAAGAGCTTGAAAAGCTGCCTCTGGTTCTCCGCACTCAGTTTCTTCAGTTGTCTGGAGCCTGGCATTCACCCCACTGCTGTCCCAGTATTTTGCAAACCCCTCCCCCAGATTTAAAATTAGATTTGACAACTGGCAGTCTCTGGGTAGGTCTTGACCAATTAAGGGGTTGCCCCTTGGCCTGTGCCTCTCCTCTGGACTGTGGCATGCATGACATTGCCACAGCAGGTTCCCAAGATACTTGTCAGGCCCTGCAGAGGGTAAGTTCTGGAACCCACCAGCCAGGGTTTCTTCTGTCAGCCCTTATTAGACTAATGCCTTCAGACAACTCTCTGAAAGCCAGAGAGCCTGTCTGCAAAATCAGGGTCATTAAACCTTAGGTTCATCGTTCCTTAGGTTCCAGGGAAGGTCTTGGGATGGACCACGTGATTAAATACCACGGTGCCTGGAGCCCCCCAGCCACTCTGCATAGTTCTTATACTAAAAGACTGCGGTGCCCTAGGTCACTGTTTTAAAAATTAATCTTGTTCTCGAAGGCTACATAATCAATGCATAATTTATGAGGTGCAATATGTTTATATATTATACATTCATTGTGTAATGATCAAATCAGGGCAATGGTAGGTCAGATCTAAAATGAGATTTCAGATTTCCTTGGGATTTTGGCCAATGAGGAGGGCTGTCTTTCTGAAATCCATTGGTGTTTCATTGGCGCTGTGAGCACCAGCTGCAAGGCTTGCTATGCCCTGGTGGCAATGCATCATCCATGGACTCTTCGGAAATGCTTCTCTTCCAAATGGGTGTTCTAATTAAATTCCCACCAATCCAAAGGCACTTTAAAACATGTTAAAATTTTCCCAAGCCAATTAGAAAACTGGTTGGCCCAACCGGCGAGTATAGAGAAATATGCTAATTTATGCAAGGACTCCTGGTCCAGGAGGGCCTCGGCTGAATAGAAAACAGATAAATAAATAAAAGGCTTCTAAGAAAAATCCAGCCCAGTGATAGCTACTGTGTGACACTACTGAGTGTGTCTTCCATCAGGTCTCAATACAAAGACACATTCTATAGAGCGGTCGAGTGGCGATTGCTGACACATGGGGTGACTTGCTTTTGAAAAAGATGGTGAATATGGCAGCTCTGACACATTTATTTTGTGAAGTGTAGTTTAATTACATGCTTATTATTAGTAAGCAAGGTATTTGTGTGTGTGTGTGCGCGTGTGCGCGCGTGTGTGTGCGTGTGTGTGTGTGTGCGCGTGTGCGCGCGTGTGTGCGTGTGTGTGTGTGTGCGTGTGCGCGCGCGCGTGTGTGTGTGTGTGTGTGCGTGTGCGCGCGTGTGTGTTAGGTCACACATTCGTAGAACATGTTCTTGATTTACCACTCCCAGGCCCCAATTCTGCCATTAAGGTTTAGATGTGTTTTGTACTAAAGGATATAGAAACCAGACAATATTTTAAAGAATTTAAATATGGGGATAATTTTATTTAGAACTCACATATTTATCAACAAGACCTCACCAACTTCAGATATCCTTAGAAGACTTTGTAGGCTTAAATCTGTATCTTTAAGCTTGAATTACATTCACATAGAATTCATATCTCACCCATTTCTGATATTTAAAACAAGTGACACCCCCCCCCCCCCGCTATATTTTGTGGGTATTGGTAATTAGGGCTACAAAGAACTCTTATGGAACGGTTATTTAAATGCTTTTCTTGCTACTAGGTGGTTTAAGAAGTCTCAACAATTTGAAATTTAAAACAGGTGGTAATTATGGTTGGGCCAAGGGGTGCTAAAGGGTTCTTAGCTTCCTTTTTAAGAATGGGAGTTACTTAATGCAGACTTCCCAAACATGGAGATAAAAGACAGCCACATAAATAAAGCGGGCGGAGGGGGTACTCAGATTCTCTCCATAGGCACTAGTTTTGTTTTCCTTTTAATCTCAGGGTTTCACAGATAAGATTTCACAGCATTGCAGAGTGGAAAGGGGTATTATAAAGTTAGTAGTACATGAGAAACTTAAGGCTAACCCAGTTATCTGCCAAGTAACTAAGGGAGGCTTTAGTTTTTAAAAATATGCAATTTTTTTTAAAACTGTGACTGGCGCTAACTTAAGTTATAAACCAATTTTTATTTTTTCCTTACCCTCCCCTCCAAGTTAAGCTAAAATGTGTGTGTGTGTGTGTGTGTGTGTGTGTTTTGTGTGTACAGGGCCCCTGAGGAGAATCAGCTCACTCACATCTTGTAGATGGGGGAGGAGGGCGGGTACACAAATAAATGTTTCTTAAATAAACCCCCAATACATTCCAATACCCCCCCCCAAAAAAAATCCAAAAGAAACAGAAATCACCAGGCTGGGAGCTTGTGTTTTTTGGTTTGGTTTTGTTGTTTTTGAAAAAAAAATTAAAATTTTTAATTAAAGAAATCCTCATCTTTGCTTTTTTTTTTTTTTTTCCTTCACTAGGCAAGAACCGAAGTTTGAGGTAGACGAGCAGGCGAGCCGTTTGCCCGGGCGCAGAGCATGAAGGCCGGGCGGGCGCGGGGAGCGGGCGCCCGCCGCCCGGCGCGGGGGTGAGCGAGAGAGAGAGCGGAGCGCGTGTGGCCGGCGCCGCTCGGCCTGGAGCTCCCGCGCCCGCGCCCCGCGCCCCGCGCCCGCCGCCGCCGCCGCCGCCCCTGGTGCGATGGCGCAGAAACCCCGTTGACAAGGCACTGCTTTTTCATGACGGTGAGTTTCCCTTTGAGTGTATTATAATTTTGTGATAAAAATTTCAAGGAGAAAAAAAAACACAACCTCCTTCCTCTGCCTCTTTTTTCCTTCGGGGAGGGGAGAAGCGAGGGAAGAAGGAGAAGTGGGGGGAGCTGGAGATAGATCTCCAGCCAGACAGAAAAGAAAGAGGAGCAAATTAAACACCGAGTTGCCAAAACCAGGATATTAGGTTTCAGCCCAGAGAGCTATTGGCTAAGGCTGTGTTTTTTTTTGGGGGGGGGGTGGGTTTGTGGGTGGGTGATGGTGGTGGTGGGTGGATGTTTAATGGACACGGAGAAAAGGGGAATGTAGTGTGGATGCTTCTCCCAGCGCCGCCGGGGCCCTGGGAAGACCAAGTTCAGTGTCTCGGGCGGGGGCGCGGGTGGACCGGGGGCGGCGGCGCCGGGCCGGGGGGCGCCGCGGCCGCGTGGGGGGCCTGGCGCCTGCCTTTTTTTCCCCCTTCCTTTTTCTTCCTTTTTTTTTTTCCTATCCGCGGATGCAAATTTCTGGAGCGGGGAGTGGGAGAGCTCGGGAAGGGGGGGGTGTGGGATAAAAAAGGAGGGGAGGTGGCGGCGTGGCGGTTGGCGGTGGGGAGGGGAGGGGAGGGAAGCCTTTTAATGACTCATTGATTGAGCCGCTTTCAAATTAGTTGTGTGCGCGGAGTGTGTGCGAGTGTGTGTATTCCGCCCCCCGGAGCCGCCCGGGTGCCGCGGAGGAGGGAGCGGGGCTCGGCGGGGCCGCGAGCAGGGGGCGAGGGAGGGCCTGGCGTGACGGCGGCCAAGCAAGAAAAATCAGCTTTCCCAATCTCCTCCCCTCGCTTCTTCACACACCCCTGCGGTCCCTTCTCTCCCACTCCCTTCCTCGGAAGCTCTTGGGTTTGAATCGCCTTTTCTTGCTTCTCAGCAAAATGGGTCCGGCGTTGGCCGAGGCGCGGGGAGGGAGGCGCCGGGGACGCCGGGGACGGCCAGGAGCCGGCTACATTATCAGCCGGGAGGCTCCCTCCCTTCCACGGCATCTGCGCGCGGGAGAAGCCGGGGTCGAGGCCGGGCCCGGGACAGCGCGGGCCGCCCGGCCTCCTGGGCCTCATCCCCGGCCTGGGCCGCGGCGCCAGCCCGCACTCGGTCGCCGGCGGCCGGCGAGGCATTGCCGGGGACCCGCGGCCCCGAGCCGGGACGAGCCTCCCCTCCGCGCTCGCTCGGCCGTGCGGGGCCGCTTGAGGCCGGTGTCAGCCGGCGGGCCGGGAGACGAAGGACCGAGGCGGACGGTGGCTTTTGAGAGTGGCTTTTTGCTTAATTTTTTTGTTCTTGTCTTTGGTCTTATTTTTAACTTTTTTAGCCGAGAGGTCTTCGCGCCCCCCCCCCCTCCCGAGTCACCCCGACAGCGGCTTCTCAGGGTGGGGGCGGCGGGCTGGAGGGCGCTAAGATGGCGCTGGGCCTGGCCTGCGGCCAGGGCTGGTGGCGCAGTTGCTCGGCGGCCGCCATCTTCCCTCGCGGCGGGCGGCGCCCTGTGTGCCGGGAGGCAGGCCGGGCCCGGCGCTGCCGAGCCGGAGCCACGCGCGGGCCGCCGGGTCCTGTGGATGGAGCCCGCGCGGCCACCGCGACCCCAGACCCAAAGGCTGGCTCGCTGGGTTGGGCGCAAAGGGGCGGCGGCGCCTTGCTTTCGATCTTTTGTCTCAGGCCGAAAACAGTGGGATGCGGTCGGCTTCCGGGGTGCACGGGCTCCCGCCCTGACGCCCTGCAGCCTGCTGGGTTTTTCTCCTTTTACCTCGGGCTGGACGGTTTAGTCTTCCAGGCCCCGGCCGAGGGCAGGGTTTTGAGACCTCTTACTCTGTCCCCTGGATTATTAGGGTTAGGGTCCCAGTTTATAAAGCCAAGGACAGGGCCGGTGTGCCTTTCATGCTCCTCCTGGACTCTTCATTTTATCCGTTTATGTTTAGTTGGTTGTATTGTAAAACAGTCCGGAGAATACCTGGTTCAGATTGTGGGAACGTGACGGTTACAAGTAATTTCTGGTTTGGGCCTTCATAGTACTCCAAAAATAAGTCTCTTTTAAACTGCCGTGAAGAAATTCAAATGCACTTTTTCACTTTCTAAAAGACAAAGATTGTTTCCTTATATAGATATACCGGGAGGAGTGTAGCCTTCTTAAATTGTTACAGGAGCGCAGTCTGGAAAGGTCAGGAGTACTCAGAGATGGAAATAGTTAATTTTCTAATGGTTAAAGGCAACATAGTGGCCTTGGTTTCTTTGTGTTTCCGAATACAATCGTGTAGGTGGTGGATGGTAGGGGCCCAGCCACAAGTCCTGCCACATAGTGAACACTGCTAGTCCAGGGACTGTTCGGTTCTTTAAATACGTCCTGTTTGTTATTTTATCCCAAAGTACTGCTTTACTAATCTAGTTGTCCAGGGTTGTGCCATTTTAAGCAGCAAAATTTGCATTCCACAAAAACCCCCACACCTATGATTTCTGCATCTTTACTATAAAAATTAACTGGGAGATGTTTTAAATTACAGACTTGCCATCTCTGTTGTTTGCCCAGACCAGCTGTGTCCTTCAGTAATGTGGTAGGGAGCTTGAGTTTGAACGTGCTACTTCCACCTCCAGGACTGAAATTCGGGCGTACTCACCAGGGAATAGTCTGAATAAGGGTTCATTGTCCAGAGCCCCGCGGAGAGCCTAGCACAGTGCAGATTTGGAGCATCCTGTAACGAGACTGTACACTGTGTTGCTTTGTTTTATTGGGGAGGTGGGGTGTGTTGCAACATCACAATTGAGGTCCATATTATTTTAGTTTGTTACTGATTATTTTTCTCTTCCTGCCATTTATTTTAATTAATTAATTAGTCATTGAAAACATGTCCTTGTAGAAAGCAAGCTTAGATATCCTGAGACTTTAAAATCTTATGACTAGAGCTGGCTTCTGAGTTTTGTTACCGGAGGGTTTTTTTGTATGTGTGTAGGATCATGTATGTGAAGTGCAGGCATGGAGGGCAGAGGAAGTCCCCTCCTTCCACCATGTGGGTTCTGAGGATTGAGCTCAGGTTGTCAGGCTTAGCAACAGATTCCCTTTTCCTTCAGCCTCTCAGCAGTCTTGTTACTGAAGTTCTTAGGGCAAAAGCCCGGCAGTCCCAACACACTAGCCTCTTGGACACCAATAAAAGAGACAGTGGCAGTGAAAACGTATTCCTTGTGACCACAAACTCCATTTTCCAGGTGCTGACACCACCCACTGAGCTCCACCCACCTCTGCCAGCCAGGTTTGAGGTTAAACAGGAAGAACTGGGTCAGGAAAGCAAGAGGTGGGGGTAGAATTACAGAGATCTGGTCAGGTTGTTGTCTGGTTCTGAAGAGAGGAGTTTCTTCTGCTTCAGGTAGCTGCCTCCCACCACAGTCACTGGCTTTAGGCAGACCTACACTGCTTTTCGGGGAGTTGGGGGCCCAACCACAAAGATGGTTGTCAGTGGATCCTCTTTGTTCCTGGGGCTCAAGGCAACTCCAGAGGAAAGATAAGAATGTCACAGATCCAGAGAGAAACCAGAGAAAGTTAGGCCAGCACTTGCCCCCCTTCAAGTCAGGACAGGCCAAACAGGCAAGATACCCATGCCACCGAGAAAACAGCAAGACTTAAACAAAAAGCCAGAAGAAGCCAGGCCTGGTGGCACACTCCTTTAATCCCAGCAGAGGCAGGTGGATCTCTGAGTTCCAGGACAGCCAGAGCTGTTGCACAGAGAAACCCTGCCTCAAAAAACAAAAAGCCAAAAGTATGTAAACAAATTTGCTTCAGAGTGACTCTAGTCTTCGGCAGAAATTCAGTGAAGCTTTAAAACAGTGGTTTCTCTAAACCAACTATCTCCTAGGGAAAGAGCAGTTACTTTTAGAGCAGTCTTAGTGGGCTACAGCCAGCGGCAGGAGACAGTGAGCCCTGACAGAGGAATTGGAGATGACCATTTTCTCCAGTAGAGATGACTGAACATCTGAATGAGCTCCTGTTAGCTGGGTTGACATTCCCCGCCTATGTGGAGGGCAGAGTGTTACACTGAGTCCAGTGAGGAAAAGGAGAACATTGCAAAGCTGCTTTGGGGCCTCGATTAGGCCATATGGGAAACTTTCAGAGTTTTGTCCTAATGGCAGTGAGAAGCTATTGTTTTAACTACAGCACGGGTGTGTGGGGTGGGATGGGGATTTGAACGCAGGGCTTCACGCACGCTAGAGAGCATTCCACTACTGTGCTATGTACCAAATCCTTGACTTTTGTTTTTTTGTTTGTTTGTTTGTTTTTGGAGACAAGGTTCCTCTGTGTAAAAGCGTGGACATCTTGGAACTCACTCTGTAGATCAGGCTGGCCTTGAACTCAGATGCCTCCCAAGTGCTGAGATTAAAGGTTTAGACGCCCAGTTTGTTTTTTGTTTTGAGACAAGGTTTCACAGTATTGTTGTAATATTTAGATGGTCTCAAACTCCTGTGATCACGTGATCCTCCTGCCTCAACTTCCTTGCTGTGTCCTGGTGCAGAGGCTCAGGTCTTTATAGACACCATTGGCTGCTGTGCACAAGGCAGAGTTAGAAAGGCTTGCATCACAGGCTGGCTCTGGAGTGCCTTCATTTTGGGGCTTGACTCTGGGGTGACTGACGGTGCCACTTAAAGAGGACTAGACGGGGTGGTAGCGAGGATTCTGTGGAACCTGTAGTGTTCCTAGCTGTTGAGAGTCACTAGCTTTTATAGGTGGTGGGTGTGTCCTGGGACTAGCCAAGTTCATCTGTGGTCACAGCACTTTCTAAGACCTAAATTTTACAGGATGGAGAGAGCGCTTAGTGGGAGAAAGTCCAGCAGCGCCTGGGGAAAGAAGGGCTGGAAGAAGAGAGTGTGCGGGGTGTGAATGGTGGGAGGTCAAGTTACGTTCTTGTGTGTATGTGGTAAGAGGAGAGAACACTTGGACCATGGTGGGGGGAGTGGGTGTGGAGGTCAGAGGCAGTTCTC